AAACAAGTAGAATGATAATCATGGGATGTTTAAGCGCTTCCAATCCAAAATGGTGGAATTTCTTTGCAGGTTTGTCCTCTCCATAAAAATTGGAACCAAAGTCTCTTCGTCGATTGTTAATGTCTGTGCTATCGTCTTTGATCCCGTTCTCTGCATGAGTACGCAGAGCTGAAACTAACCCATCAACTCCACCCTGCCCCCTAAGCCACGTCTGGTCTTTCGTCTCCACAAGCTTGGCAATGCTTGCAATGCTTGTTGGGTCGATCGTAGAGAAGTGAGCTGGTTCGATGGTCAATGTCGTAGAATCACAAAGCGTCTCTAATTGGATCCCAGTTGGCTCGTTTGAGGTGCAAACAAAGCTTGGCGGAAAGTTGCTGGACATAGTTTTGAGGAGAAACAAAGACTCAAAGAGCAACACGAGGTTCTGGGTTGTTTCCACGATATATATAGGGCTGAGATCCTCTTTATAAGCAATTGTTTGGGGGGGGAAAAAGCACTTAAAAATTTAACTTGACGATGTATTTATATTTATCAATAATTTAATTTTGAGTTTTAGAATTTATTAGAACTTATTAACTGTTCAACGATAATAATTCATCAAATTAAGTTTTTAAATTTATTTAACATTTTTTGGGAAAAAAATACGTTGAAGGAGGTTGAGTTATATTTAAGTCAATTCCTCTGTGAAGCAATTCAAGAACCATTGGTGCAATCAAATTGAAAGGAACTTCTTCAAAGGATCAATTGATTTCATACTCCCCTGGTACAATAAATAGCAATACTATTGAGACCTAGTTTATTAACTTAATTACTCATAATCAAATATTATTCAACAATTATAATGAAATCATGTCATTAAATTAAGTTATTTTTTAAAATTTTAATAAATTAAATTTATTCATTTATTATTCATATTAACATGTCGATTTATTTATTTGCATGTGTAGAGAATTAGTCACTTCTAACCCATAAATATCACGTTGATTTCAAATCACATTAAATTAGGATGTCAAAAACTATCACTCTTATCTAAATTTGCAGTTCTCGTATTCTCAAACACGCAACACCCATTAGATTAATATGTTGGAATGGAAATTGAAACAAATGCACTATGCTGGAAGAAACAAGAGACATGTTGGAGATGTGGAGTTTTCACAAAAAATTTACTTTGGGGATGTTTTGCGCAAAGATTAATTAGTGCTCACATGGAGGTAAAAATTCAATATTTTATTTCGCATGGTAGAAAAGATGAAAGGATAGATAAGACATGTGTTGAAAAGAAAATAAAAATACTGGTGGATAAATTAATTTTTTTTTCAACTCCCCATAATCAATCCCTCTAAAATTAGGGAAAAAAATGGTTGAAAAATTAAATATATATGTTTGATATATATATATACTAGTTATAACCAGTGCCTGAAAGGACGATAAAATATAAAATTCGAGCGTCCAAAAAATTGTTCCCACTATATTAAATTTTTTTAAAATATATTAACTACAAATTAATTAAATATTAAATAATTAAATATACGATAGAATTGACTAGTGTGATATCTTTAGAGATGAAATATATAAATGATTAAATATGTGATAGAAATGAGTGATGTGATTTGACGTTTGAGTCTGACAAATGAATAATGAGTGAGGTAAGTGATTGGTGATGGTTTTGAGGGGAAAAATATGACTGGGATAAAATTCAAACACACTCTTATTTTATTATATAGATATTATATTATATTACTAGTCACAACCCGTGCCTGAAGGTACGATAAAATATAAAATTTGAGCGTCCAAAAAATTGATCTCATTATATCAATTTTTTTAAAAATATATTAACTACAAATTAATCAAATATTAAATTATTAAATATATGATAGAAATGAGTAATGTAATATTTTTAGGGAATAAATATATAAATGATTAAACATATGATAGAAATAAGTGATGTGATTTGACGTTTGAGTCTGACAAAAAAATGATGGGTAAGATAAATGATTGGTGGTAATTTTGAGGAGAAAAATATGACTGGGATAAAATTCAAATACACTCCTATTTTATTATATAAATATCTGAAAAATGTTATTATGACCTAACTTACTATGACTTTTAGATTGACTGTAAGATCTATTAATTATTAAAATTTGTTGTTAATCCAATTGTTCCAAGAAAATCACATCGTTAGGTCAAATGTTTAGGTTTAAGTATAACATTACTCGTTATATATATATTAATTTCATGAACAATGTTCCACAAACTTAAAAGTTTGACTTAAAAATTTGAATTAATGATATGACTATTATATTTATTATTGATTTAACCGTGAGTTCTAATATTTCTTGAGAACTACTACCTATTAAATGTTAGTAATTTATCAAGTTAAGTTTTTATTAGTATTTTTCTAATTTCGTATGTTGATAAAATAATAAAATATACATCCTTTAAATGTCATAAATTAGTTTCAAAATGGATGCAAATACCACCCAATAATATGAATAGTGAGTTTACATTTTTGCACAACAACAACACACGTGGGTGACAAAGTGCATTAATTTTTAATGGAATTTAAAACAGATGTTAATTCGATGGCCATATTGAAATTAATTTATGATGTTCTAGGTACAATGTGGAAAAAATAATCTTTTAGGTGCAAAGTGAGAATCAAGACATCTTTCAAGATACAAAATACAAAAAACTCTTTAACATAATATATACTACTAATAAAAGTACATTAACATAAAAAAAAATTGATTCATTATTTTACCCTTATAAAGAATTAAAAATGTCACTCTATCCTTCCATACTTAATATCTAAAGTACTATCATATCCTTATGCATTTAAATCTCCAAATTATATTTAAGATCATTTATAATTATATATTCCCTATGTATAAATATCAATTTTTATAAAACTTTTTAATTGATTATATTACTCTTAAAAATGATATGCATCATTATAAGTTTTAACAAAATATTCAAAAAACATTTCAAAAATTCTATCAATATATTATTACTCAACTCATTTATAAAGATAATATTATGACTATATATGTATATTTTATTTTTCATCAAAATGTTTAACCTTGTATTTATATTTTATTTTTTTATCAAAATATTTAACCCTTTCATTTTTAAGATAAAAAATAATGTACTGTAGCTTTACATATTTTTGAGTTACAATAAACTTTTAAGTCTGCATTAAGATTTTATCTAAAAACTTGATTTTTTTAAAAATTTTAATATGCTTTATAATATATATTATAGTATTGTATATTAAATTTTATTCCAATTGACCTTGATAATTCTAAACACAGTAGAGTTCCAATATGATTCGTATATTGATAATTATTTTTATTTTATTCAATGATTTATAAGTGAAATCTTAATCAAATTAAATTTTTATTTATATATTCTCTATTTATAAATGTCATTTTTTGTGAAAATTTTTGATTGATTATATTATTCTTAAAAATATGTGCATTATTATAAGTTTTAACAAAATATTCAAAAAAAAACCTTCAAAAACTCTATCAATATAACATTACTCATCTCATTGATAAAGATAATATTATGACTACATATGTATATTTTATTTTTCATCAAAACCACTTTATTTTTAAGATAAAAAATAACATATATACTTTTACATGATTTCTTAGCTACATTAAAACTTATTAAACTGTGTTAAGATTTTATGAAAAAACTTAAATTTTTTTTAAAATTTTAATAAGCTTTATAATATATATTATAGCGTTGTATATTAAATTTTATTTCAATTGACCTAACAAATTCTAAATACAATAAAGTTCCAATATGATTGGTATATTGATAATTATTTTTATTTTGTTCAATAATTGATAAGTGGAATCATAATCAAATTAATTTTCAAAATCACTAAAAAATACTTTCAATTACAAACTTACAAAAAAAAATAGAACTTTAATTATTTTTTTTTTTTTTATATACAATCTTTTTAAAAATTCTATAATAGAGCATGAGCGATGAAAAAATAAGTTTGGTAAATTTGAGATGATATTTAATTCAAATACACATATATCAAATATTTATTTATAAATTTTTTTTAAAAAAAATTAATTATGTGCATTGCACGTGGTGTATTGCTAGTAGTCTAATAAGAAAATAACTGATAAAATAACTAATCAATGCGTGACCAAAAAAAAACTAATCAATGTTAGAGTTCGAGACAAACAAGCGCGTAAGGGGATAAAATAAGCAGCAGGAATCTCGAATGGAATGGGAACACTGCAGTTTCTGAGTAGTTTCTGGGTTATTTCCATGAAAGTACCAGAGTTGGAAAAAAATAAATGGTTAATTACACTGACAGTCTTCAAAGTATATACTTTATTTTATTTTAATTCTTAATATTTTAATTATATCATTTTAGTTCCTAAAATATAGACTATATTTCTATGTGATCCTTCATATTTAGATTTTACGTAACAAGTTTATAATAAAAAATTATTAATAATCTGTACATTGTTTGTTTGAAGGATTATATAGAAATATATTCAATACTTCGAGGATTAAAATGATACAATTGAATTATTAGGGATCAAAATAAAATAAAGTCCATAGTTTGGAGACCATTAATGTAATTAGCCATTTAGCGTTAAAATAAAATAAGCAACAGAAATGGGGAAGAGTTTCTTCTGAATTATTTCCACGAAAGTACGTAAGAATTTGAGAGGAACACGAAAGGAAATAAAGCAAGCAGAGAGTAGGAATGGGGAATTTGCCTATAAGTTTCTGGGTTGTTTCCACGAAAGTAAAATAGTTGGTGGGCGTTTGAAAATCTAGTGAAAGATGCCCGGAAACGCGTGAGGGGTTAAAATAAGCAGAGAGTAGGAATGGGGGAGTTGCCATTAAGTTTCTAAGTTGTTTCCATGAAAGTACAAGAGTTGGTGGGCGTTTGAAAATCTAGTGAAAGATGGCGGGCGTTCTACGGAAAACGCGTAAGGGGTTAAAAAAAGCAGAGAGTAGGAATGGGGGGGGGGCTGCCATTAAGTTTCTGGGTTGTTTCCACGAAAGTATGTACACGATCTCAATCCTTCCTCTTTATAAGAAACTGCTTGGGGAAATAATGCAATCAATCATAGAGCAGTAACATTGATTAGAGAATTTTGAACATCCGGCATGCTCTTCACAAAAGATTGCCAGGTCTAAGACGGTGTTTGGGAGGATTTATTAAATTTAAAAGTATTTCTTAAATAATTATTTTTTAAAAATTACTTTATTAAAAAATACTTTCTTCCAAAAACATCGTTTGGATGCTCATTAAAAAAAATACTTAAATAAAAATAATTTTACAAAAAATTGTGTTTGGATAATAAGTTAAAAAAATATTTATTTGTATCACAATTACATACATATAAAAAAGATAAAAGATAAAGATAAAGATAAAGATAAAAGCAAAAAAAAAAAAGCAAAAAAGAAAAATGACAGGTCCTTATTCTGATTGTTTTAGCAGGTACAACATATTGTGGACTGTCACGTCAACGGTCCAAGGCGCCCCATCAAGATCAACCGTTCAGGAAGCATGAGAAAGCTTAGAAGCTTCAAGATTTACGGCCTACTTGAGAAAACTCTGACCATCGTCTTCAAGAGGCATCTGAGTCGGCGGCGAGCCCAATCCGTCGGCGATCGCAAGCAAAATCTTGCTCATCTCGTTCCTAAACTCGTCGAGATCGACGGTCCTGCTCTTTTATCGCAGTCGAACTTCTCGAAAATCGAGTCGTAGAGCCGAGTCAGCTCCTCTGGCGGCGTCGCAACGTCAACGCCGAAGTGTGTATTTGATACAGGGGGATCGAGAGACACGGGAGAAGTTAAGTGTTTTAATTAAAAAACGTTTATGGGAAGTAAAAGTTAATTTTTTTTACTTTTTCTTAATAGCTTATTTAAGCACTAAAATTATTTTAACTTATTAAAAAGTGTTTTTAAAAAATTGATCCAAACGCTATTTTTTTTAAAAAATATTTATGATAAGTCAAAATATTAAAAAAATATATTTTTTTAAGTTATTTCAAACACTCTTGCCCAAAAACAAATTTTTCACCAACTTATGTCCCCGTGTTAATCACATAATCTTTCAAAACAATCACGTTGAATTCTCGCAATCAATTTATAAAATTTGTTAATTCACATTTTTACTTGTTTATATGTTTACCCGTTATTATTAAAATTTTTATGTGAAAATTATTGACCGGTACATAAAGATAAATATCAACGTATAATGATATTTGTATACCTATAATTGCTATTTCACGACCTTAAAATCAATATATGACCGACATACCTGTAATGATCACCCACTTAAGAAGATTCCATCATCAGGAACTTCGTCTCCAGAGTCCAGGCTGCAAGAAAACTATGTCCCCAACCACACAGTACGATCTCAGTTATATACCATTGTAAATGGATCAAATATAAATCAAGTGAATTTTTACAGAACACAAGACGAGGTTGATGATCACAACCTTACCTGTAATGAGCACCCACTTAAGAAGAGGACATCAGCAGGAACTTGGTCTCCACTCCAGGCTTCAGAAAAACAAAGTCCCCAACAACAATTCTGGGTATTGATAGTCGAAGCCACTGGATGGTTCTCACAACATCAACCTGAGGGATATGCCACTGGCTGGAACCAAAGACTCTTCCTCGGTTGTTGATATCTGTTCTAACTTCTATCGCCATGGATTCCGTTTTCTTGGTCGATTTCTAGAGCTGAAACTATCCCTTCAAACCCAATATACTCACGAAGCTTGGTGATGCTTGATGGGTTGGGGAGAAGAGAACTGGCTTGTAGAATCACAAAGCGAGTCTTGGATCAAAGCTTGTAGAATCACAAAGCTTTGATCACCACAAACGGTAATACGATTGTAAATAGATCAAATATAAATTAAGTAAATTTCGATGCCAGCAGGTTGATAATCACAACCTTACCTGTAATGAGCACCCACTTAAGAAGAGGCCATCAGCAGGAACTTGGTCTCCACTCGAAGCTTCAGAAAAACAAAGTCCCCAACAACAATTCTGGGTATTGATATTCGAAGCCACTGGCTGGTTCTCACAACATCTCCCTAACAGAAAGCACATAACAAAAAAGCAGGAGGAGAATCACTGGATCTTTAAGATCTCTTCTCAATGAAAAATTGTACAATGTCTTTGCAGGTTNTCCCTAACAGAAACCACATAACAAAAAAGCAGGAGTAGAATCACTGGATCTTTAAGAGCTCTTCTCAATGAAAAATTGTACAATGTCTTTGCAGGTTTGTCCTCTTGATAAAAACTAGAACCAAAGACTCTTCGTCGATAGTTGATGTTTATTATATCGCCATGGATTCCGTTTTCCGGGTCCGTTTCTAGAGCTAAAACAATACCTTCAACCCCACCATGCTCACGAAGCCACTTCAGATATTTCATATTCACAAGCTTGGTAATGTATGAAATAAATGTATCTCATTATTTTTATTGNACATCGTCTTCAAGAGGCATCTGAATCGGCGGCGAGCCCAATCCATCGGCGAGCCCAAGCAAAATCTTGCTCATCTCGTTCCTGAACTCGTCGAGATCGACGGTCCTGCTCTTTTATCGCAGTCGAACTTCTCGAAAATCGAGTCGTAGAGCCGAGTCAGCTCCTCTGGCGGCGTCGCAACGTCAACGCCGAAGTGTGTATTTGATACAGGGGGATCGAGAGACACGGTAGAAGTTAAGTGTTTTAATTAAAAAACGTTTATGGGAAGTAAAAGTTAATTTTTTTTACTTTTTCTTAATAGCTTATTTAAGCACTAAAATTATTTTAACTTATTAAAAAGTGTTTTTAAAAAATTGATCCAAACGCTATTTTTTTTAAAAAATATTTATGATAAGTCAAAATATTAAAAAAATATATTTTTTTAAGTTATTTCAAACACTCTTGCCCAAAAACAAATTTTTCACCAACTTATGTCCCCGTGTTAATCACATAATCTTTCAAAACAATCACGTTGAATTCTCGCAATCAATTTATAAAATTTGTTAATTCACATTTTTACTTGTTTATATGTTTACCCGTTATTATTAAAATTTTTATGTGAAAATTATTGACCGGTACATAAAGATAAATATCAACGTATAATGATATTTGTATACCTATAATTGCTATTTCACGACCTTAAAATCAATATATGACCGACATACCTGTAATGATCACCCACTTAAGAAGATTCCATCATCAGGAACTTCGTCTCCAGAGTCCAGGCTGCAAGAAAACTATGTCCCCAACCACACAGTACGATCTCAGTTATATACCATTGTAAATGGATCAAATATAAATCAAGTGAATTTTTACAGAACACAAGACGAGGTTGATGATCACAACCTTACCTGTAATGAGCACCCACTTAAGAAGAGGACATCAGCAGGAACTTGGTCTCCACTCCAGGCTTCAGAAAAACAAAGTCCCCAACAACAATTCTGGGTATTGATAGTCGAAGCCACTGGATGGTTCTCACAACATCAACCTGAGGGATATGCCACTGGCTGGAACCAAAGACTCTTCCTCGGTTGTTGATATCTGTTCTAACTTCTATCGCCATGGATTCCGTTTTCTTGGTCGATTTCTAGAGCTGAAACTATCCCTTCAAACCCAATATACTCACGAAGCTTGGTGATGCTTGATGGGTTGGGGAGAAGAGAACTGGCTTGTAGAATCACAAAGCGAGTCTTGGATCAAAGCTTGTAGAATCACAAAGCTTTGATCACCACAAACGGTAATACGATTGTAAATAGATCAAATATAAATTAAGTAAATTTCGATGCCAGCAGGTTGATAATCACAACCTTACCTGTAATGAGCACCCACTTAAGAAGAGGCCATCAGCAGGAACTTGGTCTCCACTCGAAGCTTCAGAAAAACAAAGTCCCCAACAACAATTCTGGGTATTGATATTCGAAGCCACTGGCTGGTTCTCACAACATCTCCCTAACAGAAAGCACATAACAAAAAAGCAGGAGGAGAATCACTGGATCTTTAAGATCTCTTCTCAATGAAAAATTGTACAATGTCTTTGCAGGTTTGTCCTCTTGATAAAAACTAGAACCAAAGACTCTTCGTCGATAGTTGATGTTTATTATATCGCCATGGATTCCGTTTTCCGGGTCCGTTTCTAGAGCTAAAACAATACCTTCAACCCCACCATGCTCACGAAGCCACTTCAGATATTTCATATTCACAAGCTTGGTAATGTATGAAATAAATGTATCTCATTATTTTTATTGACTGAGAAAAAATTATAACCAAGGGCGTACAAACTCGGTTATATACCATTATAAATGGATCAAATATAAATTAAGTAATTTTTACACAACACAACACGAGGTTGATGATCACAACCTTACCTGTAATGAGCACGCACTTTAGAAGAGGCAATCAGCAGGAACTTGGTCTCCACTCCAGGCTTCAGAAAAACAAAGTCCCCAAGAACAATTCTGGGTATTGATATTCCAAGCCACTGGCTGGAACCAAAGACTCTTCGTCGGTGGTTGATGTCTGTTCTAACTNCTTTTTAAAAAAAGTATATATGATAAGTCAAAATATTAAAAAAATATATTTTTTTAAGTTATTTCAAACACGCTCCTGCCCAAAAACAAATTTCTCACTAACTTATGTCCCCGTGTTAATCACATAATCTTTCAAAACAATCAACCTCGGGAATTCCAGGTTGAATTCTCGCAATCAATTTATAAAATTTGTTAATTCACATTTTTACTTGTTTATATGTTTACCCGTTGTTACTAAAATTTTTATGTGAAAATTATTGACCGATACATAAAGATAAATATCAACGTATAATGATATTTGTATACCTATAATTGCTATTTCNTAGAATCACAAAGCGAGTCATGATCAAGATGTTGAAATATGATGCTACATGGAAATGCGGGCACCCACCATGTATATAATGAATTATTGAATCAGTAATCTTACACTAACTACCCTGAACAAAATTTGGGATTTAATTTAAAGTTCAATAACACGATAGTTGAGAGTTTTTTTATTTGATGTCAAGTCTTTTGAACCCTAATAAAAACTTTAAATAATATCTTATTATGTCATTTGGACTTCAATTTTATCCCAAAATTTAGTCATTGGATAGAGAATGAACCCTCTGACAAAAAAAAAACAAGAATAGAGAATGAACCCTTTGAACTTCTTTAGTTGAACCATTTGAACCTTTTATAGAGAATCCACACCCTAAGGTCTCTCGGTTGGGTAACATTTAAAATATTATATATAGACTCTTTGGAAGTTTGTACATAATATAAATATAAATGTTAATAAATTATACTTAAACTGTTTGAAGTTTGTAAGTATATAATACTTAGAACTCTTAAATTTAAAATATTCTCCTTAGACCAAAAATATTCCAATCAAAAATAAAATATCAAATATTTTAAATTTTACAACCAAAATTCATATTCTATTGTATCATTTATTTAAATAAAATTAAAAATAACAATTTAATTTTTTTTTTAAAATCATAATTAGTATACAATTATACAATCTATTGAATAAAATTAAAAATAAATAAGGGGTCTAAGTCATTCATAATAGAATATAAATTTTACATCTAAAATTTATATTTTATTTTGTCATTTATTCAAATAAAATCAAAAATAATTTTTTTTTAAAAAAAATCATCGTTAGTATATCATGATACTACCTATTGGAATAAAATTAAAAAATTAAATAAGGAATCAAACTGTAATTGACACAAGTATCTTATAGTTTTAATTGGGGTAGTTTGGTATTTTAATTTGGTTGTTTAAACGACCAAATTAAATTTTAATAAACAATATAATTATATACTAATTACGATTTTTTTAAGAAAAAATTAAATTTTTATTTCAATAAATAATATAATAGAACATAAATTTTAATTATAAAATTTAAAATATTTGATATTTTATCTTTAATTGAAATATTTTTAGTCTGAATATAATATTTTAAACTTAAGAATCTAAGTAATATATGTTAATAAATTTTAAAGGGTCTAGATATAATATAATAACAGATATATTTACGGCAGAGTCTGTGCGTACAAACTTAAGAGAGTATGCAAATTTGAAAGAGCGTGTGTAATATTTTAAATGTCTTAAGTGATTAACCGACAAAACTCATTAGTCTTTAAAAGGGTCAAAGGGTTCAACTAAAGAAGTTCAAAGGTACATGTTCTATTCAATAATACATGTACTCAAAAAAGACAACAATGAAAAAGACTTTGCCATGGTTTGAAAAGTCCAAGTCTCCGGTGTGAACCCAATGGGAGACTTATAAGCAAAGGAAACCAGATACTCACCACATGTGATGAATTTGACAGATACACTTACAAAATTTGTATGACAGTCAAATTCATTTAATTAACAATTAATTCATCAAATTAACATTAAAAATTATCAAATAAAAATTTAATTTAACAAATCAACACCAAATTAATATAAAAATTCATCCAATAAATATTTAATTTTTTTAATTAATACCAAATTAACATTCTATTATCACATATCCTTGACTTCACAAAGTAAATCAACTAAAGGTCAGACAAAATAATAAAAATTAACATAACTTAAAAAAATTATAACATCATAAATTGTCATATCTTGAAACTTTTTACTTCCGTACCTTCTCACCAAAAATACATTAATACTCTCTATAACATCCAAAACTCGTGATGCAAAAATAATTTCTTTGTCAACCCCATGTTACCCACTCCCCTTACTCTTTAATGTCAAACAGCACTTCTCTGGTTCTTAGCTTATAACCATATTGTTTCAATCTCCAATTCATCTTCTAGCTTCATATATATCTCTTTTGATTGTGGGAACACTCTAAAACGTTTGGAAGACTCACCAGTAATCCAAAGAAGAACAAGCCCCCTCTTTAAATTGATGAAATGGATTCAATATCCGACTATCATTTCTGTTGTGATTCGTGTGTGCGATGAATAATCAATGAAACAGAATAATATAAGAAGAACACAAGAATTTATGTGGTTCGACAACTTGCCTACATCCATGATTCTAGAGCGGCTGCCTTGTTTATATTCAACCCTGAATTAGAGTTACAACTTATATATGTTACAACTCTAATTAGGGCATCTCGAAGGCACGTACTACTCCAACAACTAGCCCATTATCTTCTTGGCCTGGTGTAACTCTCTATACTTAATTATGAGCCACCTATCCCAACAATTTCTCTGTCACGCATCTTCAAAAAAAGCTTAGTACTTGCATCAATCACTACAAACCTGAAGATTCTTTAGCATTCGAACTGGTTCACTAGAATCAAATGTAATGAGTCCAAAAGCAATACTTAGCCTCTCACTGTGATATGTGAGTGCTTATTCCTTCTCTTCCTTTTCAATGTCAATTGACACTTCTCTAGTTCTTGGCCTATGGCCATATTCTTGCAATCTTCTATTCTGACCTCAAATAACTCTCTTTTTTTAGTGTGGGAACATTCTGAATGTTAGGAAGCCTCACCACCAATCCAAGCAATAACAAGTCCTCTCTTTAAAATGATGAAATCAATTTCAATCTCTTATTATAGTCTCTCTGTCATCAACCTTGGAAATAAGCTTACTACTTGCATGGCAATCATCACAAACCCGAAGATTCTCTATAACTCAACACTGGTGCAATGGAACCAGATGCAATGAGTCCAAAAGAAATAGCCAGCCTCTCAGTGTGTGAGAGGGCATCTTCCTTCTCTTCCTCTTCAGTGCCAAATATCACTTCTCTGGTTCTTGGCTTATGACCATATTCTTTGCATCTTCTAGTCATCTCTGCTAGCTTTAGTGTATCTCTTTTGATTGTGGGAACATTGTAAATGTTAGGAAGCCTCTCACCAGTAATCCAAACAAGAACAAGCCCCCTCTTTAAAATGATGAAATCGATTTCGATCTCTTACTATAATTTCTGTGTCATATATCTTTGAAATAAGCTTAGTAATTGAATGGCAATCACTACAAACTCGAAGATTCTTTATTATACGAATTGGTGAGCTGGAATCAGTTGCAATGAGTGCAAACGCAATAGCTAGCCTCTCACTGTGGTATGAGAGTGCATCTTCCTTCTCTTCCTCTTCAATGTCAAAAAGCACTTCTTTGGTTCTTGGCATATGACCATATTCTTGCAATCTTCTATTCATGTCTTCTAGCTTCAAATATATCTCTTCCAATTGTGGGTGTGTTTTGTCACCAATAATGAACTCATGCATAGCACCATTTGTCTCAACCAAGCTACTTCCAGGCACTTTATGAATCCCATGATCTTTCATCAATTTTCTCACCCTTTTCACATCATCCCACCTATTCATGCTTGCATACATATTCGATAAAAGCACATAATTCCCACTAATCTCTGGCTCTAACTGTGTCAAGTGGGCTAGTGCAAGTTCACCTATCTCTAAATTGCCATGAACTCTAGCTGCCCCTAGCAAAGACCTCCACAAAATTGCATTAGGCTTCATGGGCATTGTCCGAACCGTTTCCTCAGCCTCCTTAACCCGCCCAGCTCGACCTAAAAGATCCACTAGGCACCCATAGTGTTCAAGTTTTGGCTCAAGTCCATATTCCACCTTCATAGAGTCAAAATACTTGCAACCTTGGTCAACCAACCCAACATGTGAGCAAGCACACATTGTAACTACCATTGTCACATCATCAGGAAGCAACCCTTCAAGGTTCATTTTCTTGAAAAGTTCAAGTGCCTCGTTCCCATGACCATGAATTGCAAACGCTCTAATCATTGCATTGTAACAGAATGTGTCTCTCTCAGGCAATTGATCAAACAACTGAAATGCAAGTCCGAGACATCCACAATTGGCATAGAAATCAATCAAAGCCGTGCCTATGTAGTGGTTTAATTTGAGACTCCTCTTTAGTACATAAGCATGTGCCCATGTGCCTTGTCCAAATGCACCCAAATTACCACAAGCACCGATTAAAGCTACCATGGTAACCTCATTGGGCCTAACCAGAGACTTCTGCATATCATTAAACAAGGACACAACTTCTAATGACAAACCAGTATCGTCAATATCATCACTACTAATGGCATTGCAATGTACACTAGCATTACGAGCATAAGCAGATAATATAGAATTCCATGTAGCTAAATCAGGGTGACTGATTTGATCAAAAAGGTACCTTGAAATGCTCACTTTGCCAATTATGGAGTAAAAATTGAGCAATGAGGCTTGAACAAAGTGATCATAGGAGGGCTCAAGAAATTTCAAGACATGGGTATGTAAGGCTCGACCATATTGGAGCCATGGGTGCGATCTACAAGCCTTGAAGAGAGATGGGTATGTAAAGTCATTGGGTTTGAGGTTGGTATGAGTGAGAATGCGACAGTAGAGAGAAAAGGCTATGTGGGTTTGGTCATTCTGTTGATGGCTTGTGAGGGATGTGATGAGGGTGTTGTAGATGAAGATGGTCGGGTGAGAGGCTTGGCTGAAGATGGCTAGTGTGTAGGATAAGGTGGCTAGGGTGGAGGATAAGAGAAGGATGCGACTGAGAGGGTAGGTGTGGAGGATCAGACCTGTTGTGATCATTTGGGCATGGACTTGTTTGAGGGTGTCTATGTTTTTGCATTGTTGTAAGAGTTGGAGGGTTGGTTTGTTGAAAAATGGGTTTGTGGCTTTCATGGAGTGGAAGTGATTGTATGCCTCGGTTGCGCAAAGGCACTATATATGTATCTTGTGTGAGTGAGAGAGAGAAGCGGAGGGTTCAATCACAACACTTAAAAGAGTTTTTTACATAAGCAGTTATTATTTTATATGGATAATGTAGTTACAAAAAAAGTTCACTAATTTACATGTTAGTTTATCATTCACAAAAGAATTGTCTTAGATTACTAGATCGAGCATGTGACGCACATAGTTTTCAATTTAAAAGCGGATTGTATTTTCGTCAATATTTCTATTACTTTTTTGTCTCCCTTTTTTTAGAGATTTCCTTATTCTCTTTCTAATTTTGACTCCATACTTTTGTCATCTTCTCCGTCATCTTGTTTCATCCTTTATCATTCTTTGAAGGGAGAATTACTAATGATTCCGATGGGTTCTGTAATTTTGAGATTGGCTTAAATCTTTTTTGTCGTTTTGGAAAATATCTTGGCATTCACTTCTACTTTGGTTGACTCCTTTTAAGGGATCACAAGGGCACAAGGCTGAGATGATAATATCATGTGACAGTAATGATCGAGTAGACTATTATATTAGCAATCTCACTCTAACCTTGCTAACCAGTTTGTAATGGACCATAAAGTTTTGATTTAAGTTGCCTGTTTCATATAGGGCCATCCATGGGCTGAACAAGTCCATAGTTGCCTAAAGCCCCCAACAAAAAAGGTCATGGGTCAACCCAACCCCTTGTCGGCTTCGGAGTTTGGACAGGCTTGGGCTTTAGTTTCGCTGGGTCCAGCATGATTGAACCCAACAAATTTAAGTGTGTTTGCCTTTGAGAAGGTTCCCAACAGTCAAGAGCGGTTATTTTAAGGGTAAATTGTAAAGAGATACATCAAATTAGATTTATTTATCAAAAAGCATACATTAAAAAATGTAAAGTTATTAAGTACTTAATTTTGATACTTATTTGTATTCAAGTACATAATTTGAATTTATCTATTTTTATTGTGACATTTTTACCCTCCATTAATCCATGTGTATTTAATACACCACTTTTTTTTTAAAAATGATGCATTAAACATCTCATAGTTTTATGGGAGAACTTTAATACACACACACACATATATATATATATTTTAAAAAATGGTGCATTAAACATCTCCTAATTTTATAGGAGAACTTTAATACACACACACACACACACATATATATATATATACTTATATATGTATGTATATACTTCTTGTTAAATATCTTATCTAAATTTTGAATTATCTTTTAATGCACTTTGATTTATGCATTTTTTTTTAGAAAGTAATTTTATTTTCAAATTAATTTAATATCCGAATAGTATAATAGTGTAACAGTGTAACAATAATAGTGTAACAATAAAAGTGTGACGATGTAACACTAACAATGTAACAGTATAACAATAATATTTTAACAAGTTATTTACATAAAATATTGTGCTATTACATTTTGTTAAACATATAGTTTCATATAATTTTATTCAAAATAGTTCATCTCCGTTTTGAATTTGTTACCATATACACAAAACTACTGAACACTCTTTTTGTTACAATGTATTTGTTACACTGTCTTTGTTATATTGTATTTGTTACATTATTATTATTACACTGTTATTGTTATACTATTACATTATTTGGATATTAAATTAATTTGAAAATAAAACTATTTTTCAAAAAAAAAAAAAGCTTGAATCAAGATACATTAAATATAATTTGAAAACAAAATCACTTTTAAAAAAAAATACGCATGAATCAAGGTGCATTAAAGATAATTCAAAATTTAAATAAGAGATTTAATAACGAATATATATATATATTAACAAATATACATCAATCAAAGTGCATTAAATACGTATTTATATACATTAACAAACACACATTAATCAAGGTGCATTAAAGATAAAAGATTTTGAATTAAATGATCTTAAAATAGGTATTTATGTCTTTTTAACTCACTTTTTGTTTTATGTATTTTTTATCAAATAAATCTAATAAGGCGTACCGACTTCCAAAAAACCCTTATTTTAACTATCGTAACCCATCCAACGAGCATAAACTACATGGTATGTGGGGAAAATTTGTAATTGTAAGCACAATTCATTGGACATTCCATGGACATGTCTGTGCAAGATCAGGCCCGGTTTGGTCTGGCCCATGGACATCTTTAGTTTCGGCGGAAAGAAAAATCTTGTATCTTGAATTGAAGGTGTCGAAAAGACAGTGTATGGTTTTCAGAGAAACGAACAAAAGTGCACCTCATGCTTGTAAAACAATTAAACTGTCAGAGGCCGGAGGTTGACCGGCCGGAGACTATGTATAAGGCAATAAAGATTATGAAAATAAACAAGCAAGCATATCTTAAGTGATATTTGTTAAAGTTGAAATTTGAAATCTGAAAATTAAAAGTTGAAAGTTGAAATCTGAAAATTAAAAGTTGAATGTTAAATTTGTGAATTGTTTAATATCTACNTCATCTTGTTTCATCCTTTATCATTCTTTGAAGGGAGAATTACTAATGATTCCGATGGGTTCTGTAATTTTGAGATTGGCTTAAATCTTTTTTGTCGTTTTGGAAAATATCTTGGCATTCACTTCTACTTTGGTTGACTCCTTTTAAGGGATCACAAGGGCACAAGGCTGAGATGATAATATCATGTGACAGTAATGATCGAGTAGACTATTATATTAGCAATCTCACTCTAACCTTGCTAACCAGTTTGTAATGGACCATAAAGTTTTGATTTAAGTTGCCTGTTTCATATAGGGCCATCCATGGGCTGAACAAGTCCATAGTTGCCTAAAGCCCCCAACAAAAAAGGTCATGGGTCAACCCAACCCCTTGTCGGCTTCGGAGTTTGGACAGGCTTGGGCTTTAGTTTCGCTGGGTCCAGCATGATTGAACCCAACAAATTTAAGTGTGTTTGCCTTTGAGAAGGTTCCCAACAGTCAAGAGCGGTTATTTTAAGGGTAAATTGTAAAGAGATACATCAAATTAGATTTATTTATCAAAAAGCATACACTAAAAAATGTAAAGTTATTAAGTACTTAATTTTGATACTTATTTGTATTCAAGTACATAATTTGAATTTATCTATTTTTATTGTGACATTTTTACCCTCCATTAATCCATGTGTATTTAATACACCACTTTTTTTTTAAAAATGATGCATTAAACATCTCATAGTTTTATGGGAGAACTTTAATACACACACACACATATATATATATATTTTAAAAAATGGTGCATTAAACATCTCCTAATTTTATAGGAGAACTTTAATACACACACACACACACACATATATATATATATACTTATATATGTATGTATATACTTCTTGTTAAATATCTTATCTAAATTTTGAATTATCTTTTAATGCACTTTGATTTATGCATTTTTTTTTAGAAAGTAATTTTATTTTCAAATTAATTTAATATCCGAATAGTATAATAGTGTAACAGTGTAACAATAATAGTGTAACAATAAAAGTGTGACAATGTAACACTAACAATGTAACAGTATAACAATAATATTTTAACAAGTTATTTACATAAAATATTGTGCTATTACATTTTGTTAAACATATAGTTTCATATAATTTTATTCAAAATAGTTCATCTCCGTTTTGAATTTGTTACCATATACACAAAACTACTGAACACTCTTTTTGTTACAATGTATTTGTTACACTGTCTTTGTTATATTGTATTTGTTACATTATTATTATTACACTGTTATTGTTATACTATTACATTATTTGGATATTAAATTAATTTGAAAATAAAACTATTTTTCAAAAAAAAAAAAAGCTTGAATCAAGATACATTAAATATAATTTGAAAACAAAATCACTTTTAAAAAAAAATACGCATGAATCAAGGTGCATTAAAGATAATTCAAAATTTAAATAAGAGATTTAATAACGAATATATATATATATTAACAAATATACATCAATCAAAGTGCATTAAATACGTATTTATATACATTAACAAACACACATTAATCAAGGTGCATTAAAGATAAAAGATTTTGAATTAAATGATCTTAAAATAGGTATTTATGTCTTTTTAACTCACTTTTTGTTTTATGTATTTTTTATCAAATAAATCTAATAAGGCGTACCGACTTCCAAAAAACCCTTATTTTAACTATCGTAACCCATCCAACGAGCATAAACTACATGGTATGTGGGGAAAATTTGTAATTGTAAGCACAATTCATTGGACATTCCATGGACATGTCTGTGCAAGATCAGGCCCGGTTTGGTCTGGCCCATGGACATCTTTAGTTTCGGCGGAAAGAAAAATCTTGTATCTTGAATTGAAGGTGTCGAAAAGACAGTGTATGGTTTTCAGAGAAACGAACAAAAGTGCACCTCATGCTTGTAAAACAATTAAACTGTCAGAGACCGGAGGTTGACCGGCCGGAGACTATGTATAAGGCAATAAAGATTATGAAAATAAACAAGCAAGCATATCTTAAGTGATATTTGTTAAAGTTGAAATTTGAAATCTGAAAATTAAAAGTTGAAAGTTGAAATCTGAAAATTAAAAGTTGAATGTTAAATTTGTGAATTGTTTAATATCTACTGAAATTTAAGTCAAACTGTCTGATAACTATACAGAATTAGCATCTGAAAATAAATTAATTTTTAATTTTACCCTCTACTATTCAATTTGAAAATATTTATAAAATATGCACAATAAGTGAATAATAAAATTTTATCAAAAAATAATAATAAATAATAAATAATCGAATAACAATAAGTAAATAATAATAAATTGAATAACATAATAAGTGAACAATAAGATGTGATCCAAAAAAAAGAACAAGAGCAAATAAATAATTGAATCACAATAAGTGAACCATAACAAATTAAATAACACTATAAGTGAACAATAAAATATGATAAAAAAAAATAATAATAACTATTAAATAATCGAATAACAATAAATGAACAATCACAATAAGTGAATAATAATAAATTGAATAACACAATAACTAAATAATAATATGTCATTAAA